TATCCCCCCCCCCCCCCGCAGCTATTGTGCCTGATGACATATCTGTGAGTGAGCAAGTTGGGACAGCTCATACAGTCTGTGAATGACTTGTGGCTGTGTGGGATTGGGATCAACATTTTTCTGGAATGAAGCCTGATCTGCTTCACGGAGAGCTGCACACTCTGAACTAAAGCAACAAGGGGGCGCCCCAATCCAGGTCAAGAAAACTGAAAAAGGAGTTACCGTAGTCTAGACAAGATAAAAAGCCTTGAATTATCATCTGCATCTTAATTTGGGCCTCATGGAAAGAAACAGTAACAAAGCAAACTGTTTATACGTTGGTTAAGAGATAGTGCCTGGTCAAAAGTCACAGTTTGGATTCAACAAATAAAGATGAAGGCTTTCCTTCATATTGGGGACCAGATGGGCAGATAAGGACTTTTCTCTGTTTTAAATAGCATTTAGGAAGTCACATTTTGAGGAGATAACAGAAAATTCAGAGCTAAAACCATTAGTTCATTAACAGTTTGAGTCAATTTTCAAGCATGACTGCAAAACATTGTCTGGTTCTCACTCTTCCTCTACAGAATATTGAATATCTTTGGATTTCGGACTATTGGTTAAACAAAAAAAGCAATTTCAAGATGACACTGTGGGCTCAAGGGAAGTACGATGGGTAATTTGCTCTAATTTCTAATGTTTTATAGACTAAACGACTAATTTATTCATCTACAGATTAACTGAATATGAATATAACGGTTAGTTTGTGGCTGTCGTAGTAAAATACAGTATCATCTGCATAGTGGAGATAAGCCATACCTTTCAAACTAATAATCTCCCCAAAGGAACCTCATGTACGATGCAACAGAACCTTGGGGCACACCACAAGTCAAAGTTGCAGAGGAGGACACAGTTTTTACTGTCTGCATGCTGGTTTATTAATGTTTTTACTGTAACTTCCTGTTCTGGGTCAATGCCAGACCTTGCAGGCCAAATGCAACACAAAAACAACACAAATATGAACAACATTTGCCTTAACGAAAAATGGTTTGTGATGTTTAGTACCCTTCCTCAAAGGTTTATCACCATCTTCCTTCCTTCTCTTTGGATGCTGTTGCATATGAGCACTAAGTGAAAAACCTCAGTCCTGCTCTACTTTCTGCAAAATCAAGACAAAATCTCAGACAAAAAACCCAGAATGTCAACATGATGCCTCCGTAGGCTGATTTGTTGTCACGCAGACAAATGAAGAAGGGATGAAGAGGATGTTTAAATGGGCCACACAATCAGAAGCTCGTCATCCTCGCAAAACAGGCAGGCTGACACACGGTGACATGTTACCACGGCAACACAGTCTCTCTGCACAAAGCCGTCCACTCATTCCCAGGAAAAAACAAAAAACAAAAAAAGACAAAACAACTATCAAACAAGGCGAGACAACTGAGAAGATCCCATGCACTGCGAAAAAAAGGTCCATCTTAAGAAACCACTTCGTCCTGCAGTGAGGCTTCAAGTCTTATTTTCAACAAACAAAAGATGCCACAAAATCTGTCTACAGGTTAAGATTACTTTAATTTGGTTAAAGAGTTTAACAAACAGCTAAAATATCCTGTTAGAAGTAGTGTGATTTTAATGCCATATTCCCATTTGTTCACCCCGACATTTGAATAAAAATAAGTTTAATCCTCCACTGCAGAACACATCTGCTGTTAGGATGGACATCTTTTCACAGTGTGATAAAGTGCACAACATTACTTGGATCACAAGCAGCCGTGGGACTTACGTTCTGCTTCCCCACAATGTTGTCAAAGGGAAGCTCTGGGCTCCAGGACGCCTCGTTGAAGGTGGTGCTGCTGGCCCGGCGGTCGACAGAACTCGCCGCCTCCTTCATGATGTCCTCCGGCAGGGTGAGCAGACTCTCCTCCGGCTGTTTGATGAGGTATGTCTCGATGTTGTGGCGGCGGAGGAAGTCGTTGCGGTCCTTCCCGTGCCCTTCCTCCACCTCGTAGTCGCCGTTCAAACAGTCCAAAGCGGCTTTGGAGATGTGGATCCTCCTGGAATGGGACAAGAAGAATAAAAAATAATGCTTTTAAGCTGCACTTTTCTTGGCCACTAGGGGGCAGAAGAACTCCACAGACACACAGTTCTGACACATTAACACCTGTTAAGGCTAACATGTTAGGAAACAGTAAGGATGACGTTGCAATTCTCACTTGAACAAGCCTGTAACAAAACAGTACTCAGCTGCAGACTAAACTGTCTCGACACGTTCCTTATGGCTAGACCAACTAGATGGTGAAATGTAACATACGACAACAAAGTGACAAAGTGTCCAGTGGGTTGATCACAGTTTGTTTGATGAAAACAGCTTTCAGCTGCTGGAAACACTGAGACTGAACCAGACAGGAAATTAGACACTAAAACCTCGGAGCTAAAAGATGCTAAAAAGCTTCATAAAGCTGCAGGGTTGGTGAGAACGTGTCAGTACTAATGACTTCTTTTAGCCTTTTGATTCAGTTAATCTGAAAATACTGAATAGTGCAGCTTTACTTAAAGAAAGACCTTTTTTTAACATTTACATAACAGCATGGTGGAAATTCAGTGTTTGTCCCTTGTGTTTTCCTCTTTCTCTCTCTTTGTCAGTGTGTGTGGTGTTTGCGTTGCACTCCCACTCCCACTCTCCTGGCTCCTGGATCCCCACTCAACCAACACACCTGCCATCAATCAATCAACTCGGGCTCATCTCCCACTCTTTCCCAGATTGTTGTCTCAACTACTGCAGATTGCCTCACATCTGCCTGCCGCCTGCCTGCTAACCCTTGTGCAACTTCAGGCTTCAACCACATCACTCACACTCGACCATCCTAGTCTGGCATCCACCATCACCCGTCTGACCTCTGCCCCTGCCTGCCATCTTTTACTCCCCACTCCATTTGCCGTTATCCTACAACAAACCTTCCTAAATTCTCCTCATCCCTGTGTCTGTGTTCTGCATTTGGGTCCGGCTTGTAACTCTGCAACAATAACACAGATAAACTGTGATGCAAGAGTCTTATCACATGTATTGAACTGGGAAACATTTTAAAGAGCCGAAGAACTGATTTTTGGCTGCAAGCATAATCTAAAAGTTACTTTTCTTGAGATAAAAAACAAACACAAAATGTGTAGCCACATACTTTATCAAATGTCAAAATCCGATTTCTCTGAGGGCAGCTGCCAACGTACAGCTGGATGATCAATGAGGATGATGATCTGCCAGAGGTGTTCAGTTGGAAGGAGATCTGGTGACTGTGAAGGCCATAACATAATTTTCAAACTATTCAGTAAACTTTTGTGACCTGTGTGGGAGCCTCTGCTTTTGTTTCTAGCACAGACGGTATGATAGTTAGTGGATGGAGCTGAAGTGAAGCTAGTGCTTCAGTGTCTTAAACCTGCATTATTTGTAATGACCAGCAGGGGGCGACTCCACTGGCTGCTTCTTGTCACTTGATTTATGAGCTCAGTAAACAGTTTCCTGATTAGGTTATGGTCTCAATTTCTAGTTTCAGTCTTCTTCTATACAGCATGATGTTTATTTAGTAAATGATGGTCCCATTTAGAGGAAAAAAGACGATAAAGCAGCTCCAATCAAGATAGAGGTGCAGTAATGCAAATCTGGTCACTGGATTCAAATAAACTGAAGGCTTAAAAAGGTAGTCAGCAAACCAATTGGTGACGTGACGGTGGGTTCAAGCTTGGTTTCTACACTTGTTAATAAAGTTTTTCCTTAATTTATCAGCCATGTGCTCTCAGATGGGAGTCTTGGGCAGATTTAATTAGCAAAATCCTTCCCTGGAGTTATCAAATATACACCACGGATGGTCAGTTACAGAGTCTGCAGGTGTCCAGCAGCTGATCTGAGTGTCTGAGACGCCTTCAGCCTCCAGAGAGAAGAAGTCAATCAGTGAGTACAGGTGTGAATGAAATCCTGCACAGTGTCAGGTCAGTGACTGAAGTTCAGGTCCAGCTCTTATTGTAGACTGTCTGATGTGTCCAAGGTGCACGTCATCAGACACTCAGAGATCTTCTGTCTGTGGCTCAGAAACACTGCAGAGAAACTGCTGCTTCATCCATTCATGTTATGCAACGGAGATCAGTAGATCACAGGTCGGGGTTAGAACAGAGGCTGGCAGGATATTTTAAATCGGCAGTTAGAAAACTAATCCTGCCCTTGTCCCAAGGCCAAACAGGAACATGAGTGAAAATGCAGATACATTTTTTGTAGAAAAAGATCAAAATATCCCATTACTGTGTATTTAACAAATAATACAACAGCAAGAACAAACACAGGTTTCCACTGGAGATTTCCTTTCAACCCCTCTGAAATGTCCATTCTGAAGAAATGATCTCAGTAAAAATAATAGAAAATGATAAAGGTGGTGGTTAAGGCTTGGTTACAATGTTAAAATATGTATTTTTGTACAAGAGACAATTAATGTTGAAAGATTCAGGCAGAATGACCTCTCTGTAACAGCTTCTTTAACAAAAACATTTACAAACTGAGGAAGTATCACATAATACTGCAATAAAACACAAAAAACATTTTAAAAATGCCCCAAAACTAAAACCCAACAGGCTTCTTCACATATTTTTTTTTAGTCATTTGTGACTGGGGGTGTCACCATAGCAACAACATCTGCTTTTTGCTTTCTCTCTAACCACGTTTCCTGTCCATCTCCACAACCAACAATCAAATTAAAGCAAACTGGTGGGCCCAGAGGCCATTTCCGGCCCTCCACCGCCCTCCCTCCAGCCTCTGACGAGAGGTCAGAAATAAAAATAATAATAAATCATTTTTATAATTGTTTCTTATGAATTAAAACTACCCCTTCATATACAGGTAAATGGCGAAGGTCCCCACAGATGTGTGCAAACAGTTGGCCTTTATTTGTTGTTTGGCTGCGATCAGCTAATATGATATAAAATTATGATAAAAATGTATAGAAACTGTAGTTATGAATGTTGCAGCAGCCCCAAGCCAATTTGACTTTGGAGACAACTGAATTAAATGTAAAATACCCCCCAAAGCATCTAAAATCTTTTCGGTTTACTCACCCTGGGATCCCGCCAGACTCCAGCTTATTGGCGATGTCCACGTCCCAGGACCAGACGTCGAACTGCCACTTCCTGAGTCCCAACACGCCGCACAGCACGGAGCCCGAGTGGATACCAATCCGCATGTCAATGTCGTGTTTCGTACGCGATCTCACGTATCTGGAAGAAACACAACAAGAATTTTATGTTCAGTTTATTTGTGCTCTCTTAAACAAAGGCTGCCTGAGAAATCATAAAAACACAAAGCATTTATAAGCTTTGGACATGGGAGAATATACCACCTGAGCTACAGCTTCATTATGATTGAAAATTCATCATAAATGAATAATAAATGGTATAAAACATGCAAAACACTGCTGCAGTCCTGAGTCTGACTAATAAAAGGGTATTATTTTGTAATTTAAATTCATCTTTAAATTGATAAAAGTAATGATGAATGAAGGTGAAAATAAATATTTAATGATGATAATGTATATTTTATCATATTATTAAAAATGTATATATATATTTTTGCGCTATATTTTGTCTAAAATATTCCAATAATATAATCCAGTGTCTGTGTGCAAATGAATATACATGAAATTGACCTTTGGCGAGACAGAAGACAGATAACGCCGACAGACAAACACAATACATGTCATGCGTATCAGTGAAGAAGGTGAAAGACATTTTCGGTGGACTTTTCACACCCGTTAATAAATTTGTTTCTCATTTCATACTTTATTATCCCTGAACACAATAAACAGCAGGACAAACTGAGGCTGATAAATCCTGTGAAGAGCAGACGGGGCTGTCACGCCCATCCCTGCCTCCCGGTCTCATTTCATGCTTCATAACAGCAGTGATGAATGTGAGGTGAAAGGCATTCTGGGAGTTTGTGACAGGTGCTTAAAGTCAGTAGACTGCTGAACGACACCCCGGGGGAGGGGGGCTGGAAATGAACTCAAACAAACTGCAGTTAGTCATGACGATGATGATGTGATACTTTAATGACTCTGAAGGGAAACTCTTCATCACCTGGAGGTCAGAGGTCAGCTAGTGATGCCAGATCTTCAGTAGTTGATACGAGTAAAACTCCTCAATTCTTGATACCCAATTCAATACCACGGTAAACCATTTACAGTGTATATAACGGTCAGAGATTCTGCGTCTGTAAAGTGTCTTATAGCTGTATTCTATGTAATGGCCAGCAGGGGGCAGCTCCATTGGCTGCAATAACACACGATACAATGCAGTCTTATGGAGAAATGAGCCGACTTCTCACTTGATTGATTAGCTCAGTAAACTCGATTGATTAGCTCAGTAAACTCAGTACGCCACCTCGGCTGGCTCCAACAAACTGTCATGTCATCGACCATAACGCCAAACTCGAGGGTTCTTCCCGACCTGGCAGGCTCAAAAACGTATTCAAACTTGTATTGACACAGTTTACTGTAAGTCTTATTGATAAGCCACACAGGTTCATCACGAGACTGTCTACAGTCATGCTAGCAGCTCTGTGAGGCCGTGTTGAGCTCAATGCTAACATTAGCATGCTAACAAGCTTTTTGCATGCTTTTCTATTTGTATTCATCTTTATTATGGATCATGAATCATGCGTAAAAAGAAGCTATTATTCATCATAAACCCCGCTCAGTCCACACGTGGAATCGCCATAACTCATTTGTGTGTTTTGTAGTCAGCGTGCTGGAAGCCACAGTTAGTCCTCTGTGAGGCAACAACAAACAAATCTGATGAGCCTTACACCAACAGTACAGTATGTCTCAGCTGCTTTGTACTCATGTTTGCACTAGAACTCTTTGTTAGGTGTTCGTGCGCAGTTGTAATTAGCCCACCCCTTTCAAACATGAACATCATCATCAAAAGAATAAAGAACTGATGAATCAAGACTACAGCCAGTGAATTCAAGTTATTGAATTGGCACACAGACAGCTATTAACCTGCAAGACACACGAGTAGAGATGATATTACGTAATAATGACACAGTCAGTCTGAGCTCTGGGTCACTGACACCGAAGTGTTTGGTGAAGCAGACAATCGACAGCTCAGACTGACCAACCCTCTGTCCAGGGAGCCGAGAGACAACAAAACCTGCAACGTATGATGAGACAAAACCAGAACACCTCCGACTAATCAAAAACACGTTTTACTTGAAGATTTCTGGTAGTGGCCTACGGATGGCTGACATACAGCGCCAATATCAAAACAAAGATTCTGTTCTATTCTACAAGAAATCCAGGAATATGTTTACAGCAGGATGTATGAGAGTTACAGTACCGGGCTCCAGACCGACTTTATCAACCACCTACTCAAAACTCACCAGACGAAACGTCTGTACGGGGTGATTGGACGAATATATCTGTCACAACTAGGACACTCAGTATTGGACCCAAATGCACGACAGCAGAGGAATCGGGATGGATTTGGTGATTTAATATAATAATGCACTTACAGGCAGGTACAGGTGAATATATGCAGCTCCAAGAAACCCAAAAGCAAAACAATCCAAAGAGGAAGCACAGGGGGAAAGCAACCACAGACAAAGCCAAAACGAATTGACAACTGAAACAAGGGAACACAAAGACTAAATACACAGGTGAGAGGAAGGTGTAGAAGCAGTGTATTTTCACATCTAACTGCTGTGAATTAAAGGTTTATTTCCACCAGACAGGCAAGACTCTAAGTCAGGGAAAGATGAGGACACAACAGGAGAGGGATGAAGAAGGTGGAGGAGCGATGGAGGTCGGGGGCATCAGTGAAGCGACGGTTAGACATCCAGAGTTGATGATTGTTGGATCAGTGTAAAGACTAATAAACAGGCCCAGCACACACACAGGCTCATACGTATATCTGCAATCATTGATTCGTGGACTCAAAGTGGAAAATTGTAACATATCAGCCAACCCTGCTGAACAGTGTTTTAATATCTGATGTCTCACCGACGCGGCTCCCCCTGCACACCTCCTTCTTTTCACTTCTTCCGTTTGGGCACATGTAAAGTTACACTCTTGCAGCACAAAGTGGTCGTCTGCAGGCTGTTCACCATATTGATTTAACAGTATACAGCACAAATCTCGCAGCTTATCCGCCACTAATCCCTCTTTCTCCTCTAAACATCAGTCATCCTCTCCTCCCTCGCTGCCACGCTCGAAAGTGATGTGACGGGGCCCGAAAATGTTACAGCGACAAAGCAGATAATGGAAATGAAAACGCCTCGGGCTTTAAGAGCACAAACTCCGGGGTGTGTGAGTCTTTTCCGGAGTAACTGCGGAGCGGCTGTATGTGTGTGATTGCAGACTTTATTTCCGCTGCATTTTTACATTTATATGAATTGCAGATTACACAGTCAGCTGTGTGTCGCGGTGTGTGAGCTTATGAGATCTGTAAATCCCTGTTGTGTAATTTAAAAAAAAAAAATGATACCATCACTGGCTATATTTCGATTTTCTCTCCCGTCACAGTAATGCACGGTTGTGTGATACGGTTGAACCCTGTAATTGTGTCATTATTTGTCACTGATGTTCTGTTGAAACACAGCTAGGGGCTAATTCTTGCAAATGCAAATATTGAAGAGAAGCAGCGTTCAGATCAGAGACCTGGCGAAACCGAGATAAAAGAAGTGTGGAGATAACTCTAATTCAACATATTTGCAAGAAAGAGCTGCAGTGGAAGTAAAAGAGTGATACATCTGTGCTATCAAAAATAAACCAAAAAGCACCATATTTCATGCACTGGTTGAGTAAGGAGGGGATTATTAGACATACTCAAGTGCCTCCAAACTGCACTGAGAGCCGTGTTAAGCCTCTGAAACACATGTTTTGATGTTATATATTAAAACTCGCACACATTCTGCTCGCACTCAACTTACTGCAGTTAATTCACACACACACACACACACACACACACACACACACACTGCTGGGATGACTCCAGTGACGGCAGCAGTACCAGTTAAATCACAGATAAACGTCCTTATAGTGACATTCATTCTTCAGTATCAACAGTAATCCACAACATCCTCGGTTACACTGCAAACAGGAACACTGACAGCGAATGCACACACTGTAAATCCCAGTAAGCTAACATGACTTAATCCTCCACTCGTTCCCGTTAATTAAACCCAACTCCAAAATGAACTTAAATGTGTGCAGTGTTTTAATTACTGCTGATTTAATTCTAGTTTGTTCCATTGACTCATTTCCTTTAAGTTGACTTTATATTGGTACAAAAACAAAAGCCCCAAAATTAATTGCTATTAATTATATTCATTGTTATTACTTATTTTATTTCTCTCTTCCGTTCCTGACACACTCTCATATTTCCCGTACCAACTCGACAAAATGTCAACTCTCAGACTGTTTTGTAATTGTTTCATGTTCTTATCCCATAATGTCGCCTATAAAAATCATCAAAAAATAATTTTTGTGTTTTAGTACTTTTGTTTGTGTCTTCTTGTTTAGTTTGTGCCTCTGACTGCAAGTTTTACCATCCAGGATAATAAGATAACATTTGTCAAAACACTTGTATAGATCGACCAGAGTTTCCATCCCTCTGGTTCAAAATGATGCTAATAATAAGAAACAGGATGGAAGAAGTCAGTACCTGATGGTTTTGATCATGCTGAGGCCCATCTCCACACAGCAGTGGGCGTGGTCCTGCCTGGGCTCGGGCAGACCAGACACGCAGTAGTAACAGTCTCCCAGGATCTTTATTCGTAGACAGTGGTGCTCCTGCAACAGCCAACCGCACCAGTTTATATCAGCAAGCGTTACACAACACGATGCATTCATTCAACCTCACGACAGAAGAGCCGGAGCAGTGAAATACAGCCCACTCGGCATTAACTGTGAAACCCTGACCGGCTGAGCGTGATGGTCTGAGACGCTCTTCAATCTAATATCAGACAGACATACAGACTGAACCCCCAATCGGTTATTCACTCTGTTGTTTTGGATGAAATATTTATCTGCCTGCTGGATTTGCTTTATTTCGCTTTTATGAGGCTGTCGCAGTTGAGCAAGCCTCTGTCAACT